TCTCCTCCAGCAGGGGGGAGCAGTGAGGTGTTCCCCACCATGTACTTCATTAATTAATGGCTGAGCCCTTCGTTAGCAGGGGAGGGGGGTGCGTGGGCTGCTCCTCTGGCAAAGAGCAGCTGGAGGTTCATGTGACCTCCCGGATAAGGAATGAGAACTTAATCGTTTGAATGGTGGCAAATTAAACAAATTCAAGTGGAGAGGGGAGAATTGATTGGGAGGGGGGAAGAAAATCAGAAATTCAGGGGAAGTGCTTGAGTTTTCCTGCACGAGGGGTTGGGAGAGGCTTCCTGAGGAGCTCGGGGGCTGCAGGATGGGAAGGCTGGGGGCCATGGGATGGGAATGCTGAGGGTGATGGGGTGGGGATAGCAGGGGTTGTGGGATGGGGTGCCGTGGTGGGGACATGGTACCTGTGCCTTTCTTGCAGATGTAGGGCAGGTTGTAGTTGCAGGGCACGTCGTTCCACTTGCCGATCTCGTGGGACACCAGCACCACACAGTCCTCCCTGCCCACAAAGAAGTTGTCGGGTTGGTTCTCCCGCCAGTTCTCATATTGCTGGTGGGACAGAAGAGGGGGTGAGAACCCCCAGACCCCCCTGCCCCACACCCTGAGCCCCCACCCAAGGCTCTCACCAAGCCCGTGTTGTCGGTCCACTGGAAATCCTGCTCCACGATCCTGTCGTTGAGCCCGATCCAGGTGTTCTCGTGCCCGAAACCTGAGGAGAGAGGCACCCAGGGCTGGCACGGGGAAGGTGAAGAGCACCCATAGGTGCTGCTGAGAGCCCTCCCAAGCCCACACCGTTGATGAAGCTGTGCTCCTCAGGTGAGTGGATGCTGGTGAGGTGGCCTGCGCGGCGCCGACAGTCCCGCTCCGCGTCCTCCCAGGAGCGCCGGCGGGAGAAGTACCGGTAACAGTGACCCTGGAACTTGTGCCAGTTGTGGTCACAGCCCTCCGTGTCTGTGGGGAGATAGGGACCGTGGGGACACCGAGGGGGACCAGGGCCGTCCAGCATCCTGGGGAGGGATTCAGGGAGCAACTCCCCATCCCAGTGTGAGGAAGAAGTCCTGCATCCCCATCCCCCAGGGATCAGGGGCTGAGCGTTGTCCCCACGGGGGTCTCAGCCACCCCACGGTAACCCCACGGAGGGGACATTGTGCTCCCCACCTTTCTCGCAGCGGCTGCCCCCGTAGCTGGGCAGGCAGAGGCAGACAAAGGAGTTGACCTCGTCGATGCAGGTGCCCCCGTTCTGGCAGGGGCTGGACAGGCAGTCGTCGATGTCTGTGAGGACACAGCAGCAGCTGTGGGTGTGTGGAGACCCCCGGCCACCACCCACCATGCCAACACCCATGTCTGAGGATGGGGAGATGGAGCAGGATTTAGCCCTGCAGACACATTCCCCTCCCAGCTTCCCAGTCTGGCTGCAGTTCCATGCTGTGGAGGCAGGTAGAGCTGGATCCGGGACAGCCAGATCTGCCCTGGCATGGCCGGATCCTGCCCCGGCATGGCCAGATCCTGCCCCAGCATGGCCAGATCCTGCCCCAGCATGACCAGATCCTGCCCCAGCATGGCCAGATCCTGCCCCAGCATGGCCACATCCTGTCCCGGCCACGCCT